GTAGCTGGTTTTGAGCTTCTGGGGTACTGTTTGAAGGGGGAAACCCAGTACTGTGTTGCCTATAATTCTCATGGCATTTCACTAATATTTCCCCTGGAAAAGCTCTAGGCTCTGCTGGAATGGAAAAAATATCGGGGAAGCAATGGAAAGCCAATTCATACATTTTAATGTGGGGACAGGGGAGAACTGAGGGAGCCACTGCTCCCCAGGTACTTGTACTTAAACGCTCAATGTACCTTTTGATTCTCCATTATACAATAATTCATCAGCCTTCAGGCTTGTACCAGTGCTTCCAGGCCTTCAGGTCACTTACCTGCATAAATGTCATGCCCCTCGGCTTGCAATGGTTAAATCACACAGGGAGTAAAGTAGGGGCTATTTGCCAACTCTTCTGCGAACAGCTCATAGCACCACAGCATGACTCAAGGGATCATGAGAACAAATTACAAGAATAGCAAGTTGTGGAGCCAAAACTAAGTAAGAAGTTTAAAGAAAAAAAGAAAGAGCAAGGTCTGACATGAGGTCCTTGAGGCAAAAATTACATGCCTGCACTTCTCTATGAGTTTTGTAATGTTGGCAGATCAGCCTTGCTGCACCAGGCACTGTGGAGCGTGCCTGCAGCCCTGCCCTGGGCATCTGATATGCCAGCCTGCCTGGCCGTGCTGCTGTCCCTGGTCCCCTGCCATCCCCAGGATGGATGGTGGGTGAGCACAGAGCATGGCGTGGTAGGAGGGATGGAAATGTCCAAAGAGAATACAGGATATCCTCTACTTTTCCTGTAAAGTGACTGTTCCTGGAGCAGAGACCGCTTCCATCAGGAGGGAGTATCTCATTGGTATGTGGAGCAGAAGCAACAGCAGCTGCCAGGCACTTGCTGTGGGCACGGGGTGCCACTATGCTGGGAATCTCCCTTCCCAGTTCTCAGGTCAAAAGTCACTGTATGTGAAAACATCTTCCCAGAGTCACCTGACAGTGTTGGATGGTGATTGAATTATATATAAGAACATGATCACACGCATCCCTGCGGGTACCCCACGCTGGGCAGGGAGAAGCAAGCAGGCAGGATGTGGGGCTGCTTCTACCTGCTGCGGCTGGCACTTCAGGGTGCTTCTGGCCTAGCCCCTGTGGTTGGGAAGCCAGCCTTTCTTCCTGGATCAGGTCCCAGGCTGTCACCCATCTCAGGTCAAGCTCATTGCCCTTCAGGATCCTCCTTGCTTGTCTGCTTCTCAGTGCAAGATTTTTTAGGGCAAATCAGAGTGGATGTGTATGACACTTTGCCCTGCGACAGTCCCCTCTGCAACTGAGGCAAGTATTGACAAAGCAAATGTCACCAAAGCAGCAGCACGGTTGCTTTGCTCCAAAACTCAGCCTTGACTCCTTGACTGGGATGCAACCTTTGTCCAGACATCTCACCAATGGACTTGTGAATTTTCTCAGTGTCAGCAAAAGTTTTAGGTTAATTTGAAGTCTTATTTGTTCATAAGCTGAGATCATAGGGACCGTCACAGAAAAAAGGCGTTTCATCCTTTTATTCCCCTCCTTCACCCATGAGGCTGCCTTGTGTACAGCTTGTATCATATACCTGTACAGCTTTTTAATTTTTTTATTGTTTGCACTAATGGTTTTAATTCTGGACATTTTTGCATTGGAAATGAAAGGTCTGTAGCTTTCACAGCACAGATGGGAGATAAAAGCACCATAATCACAGAGCAGGGTCTATGACACTTTTTCCAGGAAGATGCTAAAGGCATTATTTGGCATTAGCAAAGAAAGGGATAATAAGCAAATATGCAAAGAAGGCTTATTCCTGTAATTAATTTCAAAGTTGGAAGTTCCACAGTGCTTTTATGTTCAAAAGTGACAGCACATGAGCCATCACAAAGGGGATGTATCTTAACGTAAATCAGAAAGAGGGGGACATAGAAACTTGCATTTCCACTGTCTTTAAAAAGAAAAAGCTTCAGTCAGAAGTTACTGTGTATTCTGAATCTATGTGAAAAAAATACAGTTATAAACAAGTATTGACACATTACATGAAGGGCAAAAGCAGGATATAGACAAACTTGGTTTCCAGGGAGATTGGACATTGCGCTCCAGAGAAAAATAGTGTTCCAAAGTCACTTCGATAGCTTGAGGCTGTGCCTATGTTTGCAGCTGCTTTTTTGCACTAATTTCCTACAATTACTATCAGTCAGCCCCAGTGATGGTAGCAATGATGGAAAAAGAGTTCAGCAAACTTCCTCTACCTCCAATTATTTTAACACTGTTCAAAACTGGTTTTGAACAAGTCTAAATGGCTCTGCTTTAGGAATAACAGTAGCCACAGTCATCCTGGTTGCAGCCTTGCTCCCATCTGGATCTTCAGCTTTTTGACAGGTAACCTTAACATCTTGCTCTGCCATTAGATCAAAAATAAGCAAAGGAAAATGTCATTCAGAGTTCTCTATAGTTTTATCCTTTCTACCCTCAGTCCATGGCTGTTGCCCCCATCACCATGTCCACAGTTGCAATATGATTTGGTGCAAAATGCTGTGCTTGTGAAGGTATCAGCCTTGCCACAACAGGTGTGATTGGATACCTTGGATAGCTTTAACATTGCTGGTTTTACTTGGAAATAGTGGATCTTCTTAAGTCACTGATGCTGCACACAGAACCATGCATTTAATACTATTTGTTTGTTTGCTGCTTGTGTTTTTTCTGGTGGTTTTGTTTTTGGTTTTTTTTTTGGCAGATTTACAGTTAGGCTTTTTGGTTTAATCTGGATTGAATTGATATTGTTGGCTTTGTATCCTGGGTAGTGTTGCCTTGGCTGATGACCGGTATAGGTGAACTTTAACTCTCTTTGTGTCTCCTCACAACATGAGGAATTCGTGTCCTGCACACACTTGCAAGTTCCCATTTGTGCAAGTAATTTTAGGATTGACTCTAGAAAAATCATGCCTTCAGGGCAGTGTAGCATTTATTTATTTATATGCACCACCATTCATATGCCAAAATTTTGCCTGTGCACATACACTTGCATGCTCTTTTTATAATGATTTTATACTCATTTGCTTATGAGGTTGTTTAGATCTCCTTGCTTACAATAAAATCCAGCTCTCTCTAGCTCTAGACCTTCAGCTTGTTGGCAGGTGAACTTGGTATCTTGCTGTGTAATCGGATCAAAAACACATAAAGGTAAGAAAATTGCATACCGGTTCTTCATGGCTTTATTATTTTTTCACAGTTCATTCAAGGACATTCCATTTTTTAGATCCTGCTCCTGTTGTAGGTCCCACTCTAAGGTTTCTTTGTGTATTGCAAACAAATATGTGTATAACACAGAGCTATGCACAGCAACTCAGATTATGCAGTTAGCACTCGCTGATGGCAGCGCTGATGGCAGCACTTATGGTGCACTGTATATTTATTTCCCAGTGCATGGCTAGAGTGTTTTTAAACAGCAGTTTCCTTTTCTATTACTTTGTAATTTCTATATTGTGCTTTCATTACTTGAGCTTCAACACTTTGCTCACAAGCAAGTGATGCTATTTAAATTCTCCTGGAAATACTTGTAACACATGCAGAAATTAAAAAAATATTTGCATGTCCCTTGCAGAATTCTCCTATGGAACTGCTAATGGTTTTCTTACCTCACAACTGTATGAAAATACAATGTCCTGTATTTACCATTTGAATTCACTACAGTCATTGCTTAATTCAAGACAGATGAGCTGCTCTCCTCCTTCCAATAAAATTATTTTCTCCTGATTTGTGTGGTTCAGTCTTATTCTTGAATGTAAGCTGGGAAAGCCGCCCTGTTCACTGTTGCAAGTTAGTCTTTGACCAGTGGTCCCTGTGTACACTGCTTTGGATACAGAGCAGATGCAGCAAAGGACCCACGTGGTGGGAAGCTGCCCCATCCTACAGCCGAGGAGAGCACTTGCACCAGCTGGGGAGCATCGAGCTGGAGAATGAAGTGAGGCCCCCAGGACAGGCAAGCAGGATGCAAGGGCTTGTCAGCAAGAGGGGTCTTCTCTTATGACTCAAATTGCTGCTTTCCCTTACCACAGTGTTAAAGTGCCAACATTTCTAGTTCAGATTAGCAGCTCTGCTGAATTCTCCCCAGCACCTTGTTTTTCTTTACTTTTTGTCCTTGCAAGTTATTTTGTATTTTTTGAAAGACCTTGTTCCTCAGGCTTTGTTATTTTGAAGGCAGTTTTAATTCCCTTTTATTCATTTATCTCTTCATAGAATAAAGTTTATTAACTTTGGCAGAAAAAAATGTTTTAAATTTTAAATGTACGATTTATTTTACAAGATAGCAGCAATTATTTTAAAGTTATAATAATAGATCAAAGTCATAATGAATGTCAAGTACCTGAGGCATCTCATAAAAATACAGAAGAAGACAAAGGAACAAGAGGCCTGATAGAAGAAATATAAATAGCAATTTTAAGGCTCCAGAAAATACCATTTCCCACAATATTTAGATTTAATACTAACAGACAAAACCCTCTGTTTAGAGTACAATGTAAAGACACAACAGGACACAATGTCATTCTTTTACAGCCCATGTAAGATATATAGCTCTAAAACAAAAAATCTTCAGAGTCAACTTAGTAATACAATGACTGATTTAAACTGTATGAAACATTCAAAAGAATATTAACAGATTAGTTCAAAGTAAAAAATGTAATTTTTGGCAAAGATTTACACAAATTTCATCCTTCTTTGGCAATTGTAACATTTGGCTAAATATTTTTGAAACTTCCACATTTAAAATCTTTCAGTAGTTGATCAGACTGTGGAATTAATTTTTGCATAAATCTTCTTGAACCTTTTGATTGGCTTCCCAATTGTCACTGGGAATTTGTCATAAAAATTACATTAGCAAGCTTAAAATTATTGGAATGCCCCTAGAGTGAAGAGACAACTCAATTTTAATTTCTTTCTTGCATTATTCTTGCTCTTTGCCCTTCTAGAAGACAGAGCAACATTTTGGCTTGTCATAGGAAGGAGTCCGGCTTGACTACAGGCAGCTCCTGCCTATGGAGTGACCCAAAATAGACACCTGGCTCATACCCAAGCAATAGTTTCCAAGTGAACCAGCTCACAGCTCAATCTCAGCTATCTCTTACTGCCACAGACAGCATCTGCCACCTCGTTTATGCTCAGTAGCATATTTCTCCTCAAGAAGTAACACAGGCTACTTCCAGGATAAAGCATTATCCTCTGTGAATAGATTTAACATGATCTAGATCTTCAAAAGGTCTTCTGCTGTGGAGACAGACCACATTTGCTCTAAGCCCCTGGACTGTAGCTGTCCTATTCAGCCTCTGTTGGATCACTGCAAATATCTTGAAGCCCAAGTCACCCCGGTGCTGCCATGGTTGGCAGGCAGGAGGCAGTCTGTGCAGGAAGTGTGGTCCGTAGGCTCTGTGGGCTGCTCCCATCCCATTTGGAAGATCTGACATGATGCTGCAATTTATTGCCAAGGTATATAGGACTTCAAAGCAAGAAAAATAACTTAAATTCATGGTTCTTTTTGCTGTGAAAGGGAAACTGGTTCCTTATCCACTCCTCCTTCCAGACTGGGATATGACTCAGTTCCTGATAGTTTAAATACGATCAGAACCGATGTTGGATTTCTTTTGTGAGATGCGTTGTTGCTGTACCAAATGCTGAGGATAAAAATACCTTCTGCTGCAGTCTGCTGCTGCACTGGAAAACAAAAAGGACATCTTTCTTTAGATTGACTGTTACATAGCTGGAGGTAGATTGCTTTGCATCTCGACTTCAGTCAAATTTACAGTTTAGAACTTCCCATCTAATACAATCTAAAATTCTTGCAAAAAGAATGAAACATGCTTGTGCAATTTGGGTAATGGTGATACCTGGCGGATATACATCACGGGCAATGGTTTCAGAAAGACCGACTTTTTTGCTCAGCTTCAAAATGAAAAATATCACAGGGAAGCATGGGTTATTTGTGGTGCTAACAATGCATATTTTTGAGGGTGTCTGGTTTCCTGTGGTGCCTCATCCTTAATGCCCTTTGTTGTGAATGTGTTGGCACACATCCTTTTCCCAAGCCAAAAGCCACCTGGGAGTTGCAGCAGGAAGAATGTAAAGCAACATCCCACAGAATTTGAATGGTAAATTCTCAACCTATGCATGATTTGTCATATCAATCTACTCATTTGTGATAAATTACTAGTGTTTGGCAGTGCTGCAGAAGAAAAATGATTTCGGAATACATCCTAAACCTGTAACTCAAAGCATGAAAGTCTCTATTTTAAAACAAGGGAATATCTAAAGCAATATTCCTCCATATAGATTTTAAATATTTTTGAAAGCCATAGTTTTATTTTGCCTCTGACATTACCTTTAAGTGAAATGAAGAATACAAGCAAACCTGCATCTTATAGGCAAAACCCAATAATATATATATGTAAAATTAAAATCGTAATTACTCATTTTGGGTGCCTGGCTTTAAATACTCTGAAAGTTCATTGATTTTCAAATGGCTGGAACTAAGCACAGTCTAAACACCAGGTATCTCCTAAGGCATTTCAAGAAGAATACTCCAAAGCAGGGAACTTAATATGATTATTTGCTTTTGAAAATCTTGACTGGGAGTGACATTTCTGTTATCTAGATCCCTTAACTCCAGGTAATACACTGCAGAGATGAACAGCCCTTCTGTACATATGTTCATGTCTTTTTAAATGATACTTTAAATGCTAAGTGCTTTAGCTCACTAACAATCCCCCAAATACTAGTAGTATCAACATACTAGTCCTTATATGTAGTAAACCTCAAGATGGCACTCTTGAACTACAGAGTTTTTCAGGGAAGCTGATTATGAATTTCTTCCAAGGGAAAAAAATAAAAAAGGAATTTAATGGTGAGTGTGAACGTGTGCAGGAATAACCAAAGCAAATACCAAGTAGAACAGCAATATCAGACTAGGATGTCAATGCCTATAGAGTTCACGTGGCAAAATTTACTTGAAAGCATTGATTGCAATAAAAATGATTGCTGCTAGGAAAACAGATGTTGTGAACAAATCCATAGGGTTTTGAAGCTTCATCCATTTATTTCCTTGCTCACTGTTCCTTATTCACTACTTCCTTTTCTCTCACAGAGGATGTTTTCATATTTCCTCAGAGTACCGTGAGGTTTGCCTAGGTGTAACTTGGATTTGCCTCAGTTGTGATACAGAACGCTTGTGTGTTCACTATGCCAGTGGCAATGCTCTAGAAAAGCTGTGCCTCTCGGTTCCTCCTCCCACAGGTGACTTGTGTGCATCTGAAGGTGTTGTGCCAGTACTTACAACAAAAGTCCCTGACAGCTTTGCCACATTTTTTCCTGCTTTCTCCTCATGCAGCATGGTGAAAGAGAGAAGAAGCCCTGACATCCGACCTGCCCCTCATTTGGGTGCTGTAGAGCTAACCTACTCCTTGCCAGCCCCAAGTGAGCTCCTTGCTTTTTTCTTTTTACTTTTCACGCACTGTAGCACCATCGCCTGCATCTCCACCTGACTCCTGGATGGAAGTCCTGCTTGTGGCTGTAGAGAGGCTGCCTCAACACTGCCTGGGGGTTGGACACATCTGCTATGCCATGGTTCCTGTGCAGCTATGGAGAAGCTGGCTCCAACCCCAGCACTGTGATAGTGGTGGTAGTGAAATGCTGGCATAGGCAGCCAGACACCTCTGTTTCATGGGGTAATGAAGATCTTTCCTCAACCCAGGCTTATATATAAGCTCCCAGGCCTCCCAGAGCCTTTCTCCCTCTCTTCCTCCTCTTCCTTCTCAAGAGGAAGTTTTGTGGAAGTCAGAGATGGAACAGGAAGCAGCCATGAGGGACACTATGGATGACCATGGCTTGCAGAGACTTTTTGGCATCTTTCTCTCACAGTGATTGCTCCTCTCACAAGAGCCTTCCCTCCCTCAGCAGTTTTCCTTGGCTGTTGCTCCTCTCTATGTTGACTTTGGAGACTCACAGTCTTGGCTGTGTCTTATATGAGGTTAGGGTCATGGCTGGCAACCACCCAGCTCACCAGCCAGGCTGCTTTGCTCGCCACCCTCATAGCCACTGTGTCACTGTGTTGGAGCTGGCTGCTGAGCAGTCTTATGAAATCATCTGCTGACTCACCCTTCCCTTGCTTGCCTAAGTGAAATCATGCTTGACTTTAAAAATCACATTGCAGCATTACATGACATATTTATCCATTTCTTCCACTGCCATGAAATGCTTTGATAAGCAGCTGTGAGGTTTCTGGATTAAGATAGTGGTCTTTCCCCCCTTCCCCCCCCCCCCTTTTTTTTTTGTCTCTAGCATTTGTTTCTTCTCTGCATGCTGGAATAAATCTAAATCTGTTGAATCACCAAGGTCAGTCCTGGAAATTCTGGGAACTGCCTTCTCCAGAGCTGGTACAGGTGTGTCCCAAGGTAGGCAGCTCTGTATTTTAATGGTGTCTGTGTCTCTCACATGCTGTTTCTCTCAGGTATGTTGTGCAAGCCACAGTGGTCTGTCCACTTCGAGCAGCAGACTGACACCTCTGAGGGTGTCACATCACACCAGCATCCTTTCCTGTCATTAGCCTCCATCGCAACATGGACTCACACATTAAAAATCTCTCTGGCCAAGGTTTGGTTCTTCAGTTATTATGCCTAGATCAGAGACCTTATTTACTTGCACCCTATTTTGCACAGCTGCAGCGTCCAAGCCAGGCTTTGGCAAAACAGGGAGATTAACTACCCAAGACTCTCTATCAGGCATGAGTGATGGATTTTAGAGATGGACAGACAGGGAAAAAATGAGTGGGATTTTGTTTATATTGAGTCAAAACACAAAACTTTTTTTATTTTGACTACTGAATAAGCCATTACACTGCATTTTGATAATTCCAAGTACTAGTTTTTATTCTGATTTCATTACTTTTTGATTCTGATTCATCTGACACTTTAATAACACTTTTACATCCTAAAATAGTAGGTTAATTTTTAATTGGGGAAAAAAAAAAGAAGTTGAAAGTTCTGATGTTTCCAAAATCTAAGAAAATAAACCCAAACACTTTGCTTTTTCAGAAGTAAAGCATTTCAAACTGAGTTAAAGAAAAATACTACTTCATGGTGGGTTTTTTTATTCAGGAAAAGCTATTTGCCAATTATGACATCTTATTTCTTTCATTTTGTGGTGATTATTAAAACAGTAAAGTAAGTATGCTTTGGTAAGTGATATACTACACCTTGCTTTTTCCATGCTACAGAGCTGTGAGAGCAGAGACATGGATACTTCTGGCTCTTCACAGACTGGTTGTCTCAAGGGCACTAAGAAAACCTTTTAAGCAGAACAGTCAAGAGGATACTTTCAGTCCCAGAAGTCTATGTTCTACCATCAGAGAATTTACTAGGTAACTTGGGCACTTTTATGATGTGTCTGGCAATCTAACAGCTAGCTGTTTCCAGAAAGATCTGTGCTGCCAGCCTCTGCCTTCCACAGGTCAAGTCTATAGCCACACCATCATTCCCTCTGTGCCAGCACCAACACTTGGCCAAGCCCATAGTAAGGAGGTCTGGAGAGAGAAACAGGAAAAAAAAACAAACAACCAAAAATAGTTCTACCAGAAAAAAACAGTAGCCTTCTGCCAGGTTAGTCCCCAAAATCTGCTTTTCATGGACCCTGCGAGGTACAATGCCAGTGAGGAAAACCTAACCCTGAGCAGGGCCATCCTGAGCAGCAGTACCCCAAGAGGCAGCAACACCATGGAGAGAGGGGACAGTTTCAGACTTGGTTTTGTGCCTCTCCTTTGCCTTTTGCAGTGCTGCATTTCCCATTTTCCTGTTGCTTTCTTATGTAATTTGAATTGTTTTGGGTGCTTGGCCATGTGACATCTTTGTATCTCTATAGTGTTTTCTAAAGCATAAGTAGATCCTCAAAAGCATTAAAAAACTGTGGAGTACTCATGCAAAGATACAGCTCATCAGTTCAGATTGTTGACTTTTGAGGAAGGCTGAAGATTTCTTCTTTATTTTTAGAATGCTACAAATAAAGGCGTTTAACAGTCTTCCAAGTGAAAAGCATCATTTTTCTATCACTCCTGTTACACTGGTCATTTCCAGATCTTGCGTATGTACGTATCCCCACATTTCTACCTGTTGTGAATAAATTCTGGGTTTTTCCATGCATAATATTGCCAAGAAATGCAAACACTCTTTGAGCTTTGACACTAGAAATTTTTTCTTTCACTAGCTGCAAGATGAAAACTAATGCTCCCCTCCGCCTTAGCCTGGAATACTGATTTGCAGAATTTCTCACTGGAAGACATGGTAGGTATTTTTAAATCTTTCTTCCTCTTTAATGTGAAGAACTATCTCTGGGAAAGTTTGAAAGATCAGGTCCACGGTCATCGTTTAGCCAAACTGCGTAATTCTGAGGCCTTTTAATCTTTTCTCATAAGTCAATCCTCCAATCCCCTTAGTCGTATTTGTTGCTCATCTCTGAATTCCTTCCAATTTTGCAATTTACATTATAATTAGGGCTTAGTGAAACTGATGAGAAAGTGATTTTTGGGACTGACTTTTATGCTGTTTGTAAATATTCAAATCTTGCTTTCCACAGGATCATGAGGGCCCCTGACATGCGTGACAATGGCAGGGGCCTGAGTCACTCCCATTCCTGGGGCAAGGGCATGTTTTCCCAGATTCTCCCACTGTGTCTTGCCACTAATTAGTATTCATTATCCCACTGATATCCCTGGAACTGTAACTGCCTACGGCGCAACTCATAGTGAATAAGGACAGGAGGATCTGCCCCAGCCTGCACCTAGTATCACTAAATCACTACCTGATTTTACTCAAGGTGAGCAGTGCTAGGCAGCAAGCAGGGCGATGGGTTGTAACTGGACTGTTTGGGGGAACATAAGGCAGAAGGCAGAGATGTTCACTGAATAAATGGCTGTGGTGGTGGAAGACATTGCTGGGGAAAACACCCTTCCTCTGGTGTTTTTGTTGGCAATTGCATGCTCTGCAGGCAGCTGGGACAAATGTTGAAGCTAGAGCCTATACCCTGCAATTGCTGCCCTGCGCCTCCCTTTGCTCTCAGAACTGCTGGGGTGCTGCTCACTCACGGTCCCTGTAACCACTGTCGGGAAGAATGCTTATGCAAATCCCGTGGGACTGAAGGTGGTTTGAAGATGGGAAACCTGAAGAAGATGTACAATGGGCAGAAGAGCAGTCACTGTCACTGCAACCACCTTCCCTGCCTCTGCTGGCTTGCTGCAGGAACATCTGCCCATGGGCAGACCTCTCCCCCACACTGCACATGGAGCAGATGAGAGAGCACACATGATCCTTCGTGCTGGGAGAAGAATGTGGTCATCATAAACTTTCTCAGCCAGCACAACTTTTTTTACATCCATATGTAAAGGGGTGACTCAGGGTAAAGCCGTCTGTGAGCCTTTGTAGAAGAAGCCTGTGTAGAGAGTCCTTGCTGTACCTCTCAGATCAGCTGCCGTCTATGCCTCTCAAGGACCCAGAACTGATTTCTGATTCCATTTTTCTACCTGAAGTTTTCCTTCTCTTATGTTATGTCTGCAAAAATTTGGTATCTGCCCCACTGGCAACAAATAGAAGGCTCCTGTGAGAGTCTTAGCTCAAATGCAAGCTACAGAACAACAATAAGAAAATAAATAACTGAATTCCTGCCTGCCTTTTCTACGCCCATAGACGTAATAGCCGTATTGTCATTTTGGTTCTGCTTCCTCTGAGTGCACGTATAAGAAGCTACCAATGTATGTTTCTAGTCTCAGTCACACAAGTCGAAGAAAATTAATACTTTCATGTGTCCTCTGCTCACTTGAAATGTTTAAAGATTCTTGTAGGGAAATATCTCATATTGCTGTTATAGCATTGCTTTACAATAATGTTCTGCTATATTATAGTACCCTTTTCCTTACAGCATGGATGCTAGAACCAAAAGCAGAATGAATGCTTCCATGTAAACATAAAGTAGGAGACAGTGCACTCTCCAATAAGCCAGCAGTACCAGTGAGGGAAAGCAGCATCATTATTCTGCAAACAGGAACACAGAGAGGTGCAACTCATCCCACTGCTGTTGCACAGGAACCAGGCACAAGGGAGGTTCTGCAGCTGAATCATTCCCAGCTACTTGACTAGAACTCAAGTAAAAATACTTTCTCATGCATCATGTGCAGCCCAGTCCTCTCAACCTTCTTGAGCAAAAGAGTCATCAAATTCACTAATTGATGTGTCAAATTAGGACTGGGTGGCTGTTTCTGTGCCATGCTGTCAGGTGAAGACCAACAAGTATATATGCTGTCCCAGTGTATCACCATGGCAACTAAAAATTATAGTCAGGAACACTGTTCCTTGTTTTTATCATGGCCTTCAGGTTCTACTTAGTGCTAACACAGCCAATTGTTTCACTATTCAAGTATGGATAGTGACACATTCTGAATATATGAAGCCAAAGAGCTTTTCTCATTTATCTTTCTTAAGTCAGACCCAGAAGATAAACAAGAAAAAGAAAAAAAAATTTTTTATTAAAAGTGGACCCCAAATATTCTGCAACTCTACAGCAAAGAGGACTTTGTCCAAGATTTTAAATGTAACTGTTAATTTTGTATGATGAACTTGCCTCATATTGGATTTCCAGGAATCCACCCACTGTAGGAGAAGATCAGGCTAGAGAACCTGAAAGGTGCACATGGTACCTGATGAGATGCACCCATGGATCCTGAGAGAACCAGCAGATGAAGTGGCTAAGCCACTATTCATCATATTCCTGGAAGAAAGAAAATGTCACTCTTATCTTCAAGAAAGACAAGAAAGAGGATCCAGGGAACTACAGGCCAGTCCACCTCCCCTCCATCCATGGGGAAGTGAGGGAACCAATAATCTTGGAAAACACTTCTAGACATACAAAGGATAAGGTGACTAGAAGTAGCTGGTGTGGATTTATGAAGAAGTCATGTTTGACCAATCTGATGATGAGATGCCTGGCTTGGTGGATGAGATGAAAGCTGTGGATATTTCCTGTTTTGGCTTTAATAAGGCTATCCATACTGTCTTCCATAATGTCTTTATTGACAAACTGATGAAGTACAGACTAGATAAATGGTTGGTATTGTAGACTGAAAACTGTTTTCTCTGATCCACTGAAAGAGTTGTGATCAGCTTTACAAAGTTGAGCTGCATGAGAGTCACTGGTGGTGTACCCAGGGGTCAATACTGGCACCACTACTGTTAAACATTTTCATTAATGACTTGGATGCTGCGATGCAAGCTTACAGGTGATACAAAGCTGGATGCAAACTTACAGGTGATACAAAACTGGGAGGAGAGGCTGACACTCCAAATGGTTGTAGTGCCTTTCGGAGTGACCTCAACAGACTGGAGAAATGAGCGTACAGGAACTTTGTGAAGTTCAAAGTGGGGAAAAGGCAATTCCTGCACATGGGGAGGAACAACACCAAGCACCAGTATGTGCTGGGGGCTGCACATCTGGGAAGTAGCTTGGTAGAAAAGGACCTGGAAGTTCTGTTGAACACCAACTTGGATACAAGTTAGGAAATTGCCTTTGTGATAAGACCAAACAACCTCCTAGGCTGCATTAGGCAGAACGTCACCAGAAAGTGACCATTCCCTTCTACTCAGGACTGGTGACACATCTAGAGTCCAGTATTGGGCTCCCCAGTACAAGAAAGACATGGACATACTGGAGCAAGTCCAACAAAGGGGCGTGAAGATGATTAAATGATTCTCAGAATTTCTACTACAAGGAAAGGCTGAGAGAGCTGGCATTGTTCAGTCTGGAGCAGAGAAGACTTGGGGAATATTATCATTGTCTAGAAAAACCTGATGGGATGGTTCAAAGGCTCTTCCCAGTGGTGCCCAATGACAGGATGAGAGGCAGTGGGAGCAAACTGAAATACAGGAAATTTCATTTAAACATAGGAGAAAAAATTGTCTTACTCTTAAGTGTGACTGAACACTGGAACAATTTACTCAGGTAAGTTGTGGAGTCTCCATCCTTGGAGATATTCAAAACCTGACTGGAATAGCCCTGAATAAACTGCTGTAGTTCATCCTGCTTTGAGCAGGGGGTTAGACTAAATGATCTCCAAAAGTTCCTTCTGTTTCAACAGTCCTGTGATTCTGTGATAGGACAGGAGAATGGTCTTACAAACTTCACAGTACTCCTTCAACCTAATTTTCTTTATCCAGCAAGTCTACTGTTTTCACTGTGATATGTGTTTTTGCTTTTATTAATTAAACTATTATCACCATTTATTAGATTAGTGATAGCAGGAGTAGGCCTGGAAGACAACAGTTGGAAAGGATTCCCCAGATATCAGTGATTATTTGATTTGGATCATATTTTTAGTGTGCTGGGTATAAGGCCTGTAATACTCCAGAAGTGAAGCTTATATGTGAGCCTCAGCCCAGCAATTGCTGCTGGGATTGTGATGGACCACTTTTTCATCTTGCTCATCATTGTTTAGATGTATCTTGAAAGTGATGCTTTCCCTTCATGGTGACAGAGTCAAGCCTGATACAGGGTGAGCAAACAGCTCTGCATCCAGAAGTGAGTCATCATTGGTCTCCGGCTGATTTTATCATCCTCTCTGCTACGAGAGCTGTTTCTCTCACCTGATTCAGGCAAAACAAGCTGCAGGTGTAAAACCCAATGGTTCAAGCACTCCCAGGTTTTTATGATGAGGTGGTGAAGAAGCCTTCAGATGACCTGTTCTACTGGCAGGTCAGAGGGGCTGGAGCTTTTGACTAGTAGTGATAAGCAGCTAGGGATAGGTTGAGGGGCAGTGGTGTCTTCCAAGACCCCTAAACAGAATATATTCAGACCTGCAGTGCAAATTCCTCCTATATTATTCTTTGTAACTTTTTCCACCAAAATAGAATTTAATCTCTACACAAGAGGCAGAAGCTTATAAAGATCCTCCCTCAATAAGGTAGGCAAATGGAAAATTGCAGTCAAAATGACGACTGCAAAGTTAAAATTTCAGTATTTTAAGTTCTATATCAGTTCCTTCTGACCTTCAGTAGAAAGACTGGAATGCACAAAGCCGCTTTCCAGTGTTTTGATTTAAACAGGTGATTTAGGATAAAGAAAATATGAGCTGGTAAATTGCTCATCTATTTTGTTACTTTTTTCCAAGGACTAGTATTAGAACTGGTACTTCCTGGACTGAACCAGAATGCTGTGTTAACAGCTGCAAAATTACTGGAAACAACTTTGGAAATAACCCATATATGCCAATTTGCTGTAGCTGTGCTTTTCTCCTGAGGAGAAAACCTTAATCTCTAGAAACTGTTTTCATTTAACAGCACAGACAAGGTTCCAGCTGCTGTGACTGGGAAGGAAAACCTCAAAAATGAGAAATTAGGGTAAGCAAGGCAGATACGAACGTGCAGACAGCCTGGGACCATGACATGTGAAGTGACCCATTCACCTCACTGAGATATTCATTCAGCATGTTCCTGGCGCTAATACTGAAAACTCAGTGTTAATCATTGTGATGTTTCTGTAAGAGAGGAAGAGGATAATGCCAGATATCCCCATTTCAATACCAGACACATCTTTTTTTTTGTTGTCTTGAGTAAGTAACATCTAGGAAGAGCCCTGATGTATTACCCTGCTGTGCTTCTTTCAGGGTCAGGAAGAGACAGAGCCCAAGAAGCCTGAGGTGCACCTTGATATTCAAGAAGAGCAGATCTATGGTCCCAGCTGGGTTTTGTCGTGGTTTAAACCCTAGCCAGACAGCTTGTTCACTCACTCCCAGTGAGTGGTGCCGGGCTGAGAGCAATAGAGCCCCCCCCCCCCCCCCCCGGGGCTCTCCCCTTCCCCGCTCCCGAAGGAACAGGGAGGAGGATCAAAAGAGTGCAGCTCCCATGGGTTGAGACAAGAACAGTCCAGCAACCAATGTACAACACAAATCACCACCGCTACCACCAACGACAGCAATGATAAGAGAAAATAACAAGGGAAGAGAATACAACACCACCAGCCAAGAAACGAGTCCCACCTGGAAGCCCGTGTCCTTCCGGGTAACTCCCAGTTCCCCCCCACCCCGGGCATGACGTGCTGTGGTATGGAATACCTCCCTGGCTAGCCTGGGTCAGGCACCCTGTCTCTGCTTCCTCCCGGCTTCCCCTCCTCCCTGGCAGAGCATGAGCCTCACAAAGTCCTTGGTCAGGGTAAACATCACTTAGCAACAACCAAAAACATCGGTATCACCAGCACTGTTCCCAGGCTGGAAGTCAAAACACAGCGCTGCACCAGCTAACACAAAGGAAAAACATGACTGCTACTGCTGAAACCAGGACAGTTTTCGTAGGATATTATGGTTGAGTATGTCTTATAACCCCTCTGTCTCCACCTTTCTGGGCAGAACTGCCCCTCTCAGATCAGCTACTCAGTAGATAGCTTAGCTATAATATCAAACCACAAAAGAGAGATCTGAGCAGCCTAAAACATAACATGACAGTATTTTTGTCAGGTGAACTGTCTACTGCAAATGATGCTTCACATTGGCACCCTCAGCTGGAAGCCAGTGGTAGGAATGATACACAGTGTTTGAACATACCAAATATTGAAGCCTTTGAAATCATAAAATCATAGAATAGTTAGGGTTGGAAAGGACCTTAAGATCATCAAGTTCCGACCCCCCTGCCATGGGCAAGGACACCTTGCACTAAACCATGTCATCCAAAACTCCATCCAACCTGGCCTTGAACACTGAGATGGTCTTGATAAGCCCCTGGCCAGCAGCTCAGACTGTAGAATCACAGAATGGTTGAGGTTGTATGGGACCTCTCTAGGTCACCTGGTCCAGCCACTCCTATCCAAGCAGAGCCTCCATGCTATATCAGCTTGTCTATGAGAATCTTTCGTGAGAGTGTCAAATGCCTTACTGAAGTCTACGCTGACAACATACACTGCTCTCATCTATCAAGCCAGCTGTTTCATTATAGAAGTTTCTTAAGTTGGTCAACCATGCCTTCCCCTTGATGAAGCCATGCTGACTACTTCTGATGACTTTCTTGTCCTCCATGTGCCTGGAAACAGTGTACAGAACTGCCTGCCTCAAGGTTGGAGGTGTGGCTGGGTCCTCCTTCTTGCACAGGTAAATAGTTGCTCAGATTTGTAGATACTCAACTTCAGCCATTTTTAGGCTTATAAACAAAGCCTAAAATGGCAATATTTTTAACTGTTTTCACTGAGAACAGAAAGGACTAAGCCATGTCCACCAAACCAGTCTGTGACGTGTATCTAGCATCTCCCCAGCACATCAGGGTGCTAAGAGGTACATGCATTCAGCACTCTGTTACCTGGTGAAGCTTGCAGTACACAGAGCATGGGAAGTGGAAGCACAGAGCAGTGAAGTGGTTTCCACAAAGTCATGTTAGAGGGTCAGTAGAAATGTTGCAGAAGGATCTCAGTGACTGAAAACACTTTGTCACTAAGCAAGAATTTAATCAGTTTTGGTTTTTTTTTTCCCTGTGTGGTACAAAGACACTAATGATGAAGGAATTGGCTCAAAACCAGCTTTTCAGCTGTGGGAGACCAGTCCTCTAATTGTGCTTGTAGTGCTGCTGACAGGTACTGTGCTGTGCCCTGCGTCTCTTGCCTCACTCTCAATTAGCCCAAACTAAAAGAATAGGAGAGAGCTTAAGAGTTACAAGGGGGATTAGAAAAAAATATCCTTATTGTGAGTGTAGGAAATATTCGAAGTGAAACTTCCTTGGGAGAGACCGCTGTTAAAGATTTGATGTTGGAAGGACTTCCATACTCCATACACAAGAGTGTGGTGTATGTTCAGGGGGTGTGAGGTTCTTATGTCAGCTTCAGTTCAGAGCATCAGCTGCCACACCTGGGACATTCCTGGGCTTTTTCTTAACAGCTCCTGCAAGCTGAGCTTGACTGATAGCACCATTAGGAATGGAGGGCCCAATAGACCAAAAACTGCTTGCAAACTTTTGCATTCAAATATGAAAGCGGAAGAGAACCCTTGCTCTGTCAATGCTTTTTCCTCAGTTATTCCCAGCTATTTCACCACATCTTCTCACATTTTTTCTCTAACAAACAGACCTCTTTCTGATGGCAAATTGTTCTTTTCTGCCCTTCAGACAGAGCATTTATCATAGATGTTATTACCATGTCTCCTGGAATCTTTCCATCTGAAGACATGCTTGTTACAAACACTGTCACAGGCTACAAAATGTATCTGAAAGAAAGATTGACATTTTCTTTTATATACCATTCTTTGTAGGCAGGTTTTTTTTCTCCACACGCTGCTTAGCTTTCTTACTAGGTCAGATCACCCATGTCTAAAGACTGGTGCTGGCTCCTGGCACCAGCCAGTCGCTTCCCTGTCAGAGGACCCTGGGAGCTTCTTCCCCCTGCCCTAGGCTATTGTGCAGTTAGGCAGTTATGCAGTTCCAAGCAGACCGGAGCATCTGAGCCTGCGCAGAGCAGGGTGCTACTGATGGTGGAGAAGCAACTGGTATTGAAATGGCAGATTGAAAGCAAGAGGCGAACTTCTTTCTCTCCTGCTGTCTTGTTTTCTTTTAGTTCTTTTAGTTTGCTGTGAAGCAAATCAAGAGAGGGAGTAGCAGAGAATCATCTGAACAAACAGAGCCCAATATTTGATTTGGATGATAACAGTGAAAATACCTTATCTTGCTTTAGTGGCCAAGTGACCAACCCCTGCTGCTCAGCCTTCTGTGCACTACAGGCTGGTCACAATATGCTGGTGCGCTCAAAGTCACCAGAAAGGTCTCACCCTTGCAGCTGCCTTTGAGAAGAGCTCCAGCAGGGGAGAGGATGAGTGTGTGCATGTTTGCCTGCAAGCAAAGGAATGAGCCTTGAAGGAGCACTCCTGCAGTGAACAGGGGAGTTTCTATTTCTGGCATAAAGTTTGAATTCTTCGCCAAAGCTTGTCACCACCGTCCAAAGCACTGGTCTGCTCTCCCTCCCATGCTGGTATTTGGCTCCTGCCTTTTTTCCTCAGCTGCTGAGAAGCTCCCCTTGACTTTGGCAAAGAAAAGGAGGTCCTGGCCTGGGGCTCGGCGCCCTCCTGAGCTGGAAGGGAAGATGCTCAGGTGTCCAGGGTGCATTGGAATGGTCTCCCCTGCTGCTACATGACCTACTGCAGGGCTTCTTGACTCCCATGGGGATATGGACACCTCCTTGGATGTTTAAACACTGCATGCTGCACTGGCAAGGACTGCCATCTGATTAACTGCTCTCAGCAGCGCCTGTCCAAGAGGTGCAGATGCTGCCTGGGAGAGCAATAGATGCACTCAGGAAAGCAAAGGCTGAAGTTGCTGCTCAACCCTTGGAGTCAGGAGTCCGGTGGATTAGGGAGCCAGTTTGAGCTCTGCAAAGAAGAAGCAACTACTTTCAGTGTTTAAAATGTACTTAACCTAAGAAGCAGATGTAGACTGTTCTGAATTAGCCTGAGATTTGGGATGAGTTCTGTTTTTTTTTTCTTTAAAGTAGGAGCTACCATAAGGTAGGGTAAGTTACAGTGTATGTACACTTTGTTTCTCTTATAAAGGAATATATATGGCCTTAGAAAATGAATATATTTTGTATTAGTTAATTAGGTAGTATTCTTCCCTTTGATGTATGTTTTCTTAACCTTTAACCCTGCTACATTAAGGTATTGAGGTTAGCTATTTCAAAAGGTACATATGCACATATATGCATGCATAGATATGGACATATGCTGTCTCCTTTTTTACTTTCCTCATTTGATGATATTACAGTTACTCTGAATGAAATCCTTTAGGAGACATTCCAGGAGAAATGAAGATGTTTCAATCAAACCGAAAAGCAAATGCAAAGAACATTTTGAGCAGAGTGGAGTTGTGTAGAAACAATTATTTTCCTTCGTACATGTATCTCGGAAAAACTGATGTACGCTCTTCTCCATTCAGGGATTAAGTTTTGAAGCACTATTTTGAAGTTGCATGTTGTTAGGGGGTTTTGTTTGTTTGGGGTTTTGTTATGTTTTATTTTGTTGTTGTTTTTTTTTAATGGGGAAGATGTATTCCTCACAGAAAATTTTCAGAGGAGCAATCAATATACAAAATGAATTATCTGTTGTTGGATCTGAACTGCATATCTGTACACAGGGTGTTTTTGTACTCTAGGGTACTCTGAAAGCATCGTGGCTGAATCATAATAAACAATGGATTCCCTTATCAAAAAAACACACATACCCACAAATATTTCACTCCATTTTCAATGTCTTTGACAACATAACATTTAAATACCTGAAGCAATTTATAAAGTATTTATAATACAGAATCCATAGCCAGACTACTAGAATTTAAATATCTAAGTCTTTAAGAGATGGACAAAACCAGGTATAGGTTGCATAAATGCTCCATTATCTTTGCTTTCTTTGCATTCAGGAAGAATTAATAAAAACATCCCCTGCTATCTGCTATATCCCCACCTATAATGTATGCTTGCAAATGCTTTCATTGTGAACATTGTTACAGGGGTTAAATTTTCGTATATGCATGCCAATCTCTTCTCTCCTCCCCAGACTGCATTCTTGCTCCTGCTTAGGTAACAGGTCTGCCCAGCTGATGGAGGACTACTTCTCGGATGCTCACCCTTGTGAGGATGGGTATGGTAGAACTGGAGAGCACTGTCTTCATTTGCACCCAGTGAAGGCTGGTGGAGGTCATCACTTCCACCAAAAAGCTAGGCTGGATCTCATCTGCCTGCACAGAGCAAATGGGAAAGACTGGGGACCCTGGTGGGTTCCTGCTGTTCCCTTAGCCAGAGCTTGCTGCGCAGTTACACTCCTACCCCCTCTATACTGTTAATCAAATAACAATACTACCTCCTAATAGTTGGTGTTGAATCCTGCTGAATAATTTTCCCAAGATATACAAGGAAAAGGCTTCTGTCATGATGAAAAGCTCAGTTCTTTAAAGCATACTCAATTAAATCAGGTTGCTGGCCAGGAATGCGTATTTCTGTGCTGCAAACTCCACTCATCTTTACAGCTCTGTCTTGACATGGGAACCTCTTAATTTTGATCTTGTTAAAAGAGTTTACTTACTCAGTTCAGAGGTGCAGAATAGGCACGCCTGTGATGTGTAAGGGTACAAACACTTGCTGCTTGTTGTGTGTCTAAATCTTACCTAGGCATAAGCTTTTTGCTTAAATCTGAAATTTCACATTTCAAAGCACAGTCTTTTGTAAAGTAGAGGGAACTGAAACTGTTAAACTTGCAATATGGAAGCTGTTAAATCTACAGGGAATGTATGTCTCTCGTTTGCATTCGCAGATTTAGAGATAGTCCTCAAAAGGGAACTGGATTGAACCAAAGAGGATGGTAGCTGTGCCTAGAGATCCCCACAGCAAAGAGCTCTGTACCAACACTTGTTAATTGAAAGTCCTTAGAGACACAATTTAAGCAGGCAGAGAGAAATGAAATACTTTTCCTGAGATGTTAACAAACTGAGATGGCAGAGCCAGGCTTTAATCCCAGCCTTTGTGACTTCTAGTCCAGTGTCCTACGATGTGTCACACTGCCCCCTAACACTTGTGGAATGCATTTCTTTCTGTATCTCCCTCTTGTCTACACAGACGCACCTGCATATGAGTTCTCTGTATAGCTGGATAATTTTCTGAACACTTACTAATTTATCGTACATACCACATTCCAAACAATGTGAATATTTTAAATACTTCATTTTAAATGCTACCTGCTTATTTTTCTCCTTTAGAAATATCCAGAATGTTGCACTTTTCTTTCCCATTTTGGAAAGGAATCCTTTCTTGCCTGCACAGAAAGAGGCAGCAATATTGAAATATCCACAAAGACAGTTTGTCCCTGGACTGTTCTTGCAGGCATTTGTGCTGAAGAGATGTTAACACAAGCCACATTTTACGTGACTTATATTCCCATTGCTCAGGGTTCTTCTGCTTGATGCTGGCAATGCTGCAGCTTCCCACACTTCCCAGCTCTCCAAGGAACCCTACAGTAGAAATAAGGAAGCCAGGACTTAATATTTAGACATATATATATATATATAAAAGCAAAAGAAATAACACTTTAAGGTTTTCTTGCAGCACAGGAGGGGGGAAATGGTAAAGATTTACTTTGGGACCACTTTAATTCAACTTTTTAAGTCCTGCGTAGCTACAGTAGTCTTTCCTTGTGGCAAGGACCCAAGCAGGTGGGTGCTGACCCCCACCACTGTGTTATCCTCAGTGCAGACTCATGCAGCCCCTCATTAGGGTACGAGCCATCACCCCAAAACGGGCAGGGGGCCTTTCTCATTGCGCCCTGGCAGCAAGAAGCTCCCTTCCCAGGGATGGGGATGTCCCCTGACCTTGGGCCAGGACAGGCTTCACTCACGCTGGCAGAGTGCTTCCAAGGTGAACCACCAGTGTTACGTAAATGTTGATTTTTATTGCTGTGGGTACAGGTAGAGATTAACTACCTCAGCTGGCAAGGGAACTGATGTGTAACATCCTTCTCCATCTCTGATCTCAGATCAAAAGCTTCAGCCTTGCCTGCCACACCCTGTTCCTGCAAGGAGCTGTGCCAGGAGGGCGATGCCAGGGGTGCCCAGATGGTGTGGCCACCACAGTGGCCCCAGGTCTCGTGGGCCACTCCGGCGCTGCTGACTCTTGCTAACAACGTTCCATGGGTCTTGATGCTGTGGGAAGTGCAGAGAGGAGGAGGACATCCTGGAGAGGGGGTGGGAAAGTGAGGGAGAAGGGCACAAAATGCCATCCCAGGATGTGCTTTTGCACAGATGTTAAAAACCAGGAGCATCTCTACTAATTGCAGCAAACTTGGCAGAAATTAAGCCTAATAGGCCTCCTTCATACAACTGTGTGACTAAACACCAGATGCCCTAAAGGCACAAACTGACAAGGTTGTTTAAATCTTTAGTATAGTGTCTGTGATCCTTCTGACAGAGAGAGAGGATGTTGCAAGGCAGGCCCCTGAGCAGCCATCCTCCTGAGGGGCAGAAGCTGGTGGGGTAGGGGTGGGGGTGTTGGGGCTGCATGTTAAAATACCCAACACCAAAATAGAATTTTATGACATTTATGAGTGCATTTTCATAAAAAACAATTTTTTTTCTGGAGAAGTGCCAAAGCTCCAAATACTTTCCTTCCGTTTTTTTTTCCCCTAGCACAGCACTTCTGTCCACTGGATGCTTTACAAATGGTCTCTCTTTGTGCGTCATGAGAGGAGAGAGTTACTCTGGATTTATCCAGGAGTGTTGTAAACCACATGGCCCTTCTCATTTCAGCCTTATCTTTGAAATGTCTCAAGAGACATCTTATTTTTATGACTGCTCGAGGACTGTAAGCCCGAGGAGCTGCTTTTGGGAATGCATATGATCCCTGTCACATCAAATGACTACATTGTGGTGTCATTGCTGTCTGTGAAACATAAAGTAGCTGCTGGGTCCCAGCTCTCCATCTGCAGTTCCCCAGAATCCAGGATTTTGAATCTGAAATTTCCATTTTGGCATTGTCAATAATTCAAAACTGTTTATTAAAAGGATTAATTCATGATAATTGTTCTGAGATCAGGAAAACATAGAAATTGCTCTTGAGAAATTTTTATCTGCATTTGTGGTGGGCTTGTTTGCCTTAGGGAACATTGCGGTACTGTGCCAATGATTCTTCTCGCTCCAAAGCACAATAAAACTTTACAATTTTAAATAATTGGCACAATACCTTTTTAGATTATGTCAGAAATACCAGGTATCAGTTTCAATAAAGTTGCAGCATTTTGTTTTGATGTTTAAGTTTATTGCTAGAATGAGAACAGGAATCTGCAGTATACCTGCAGGTCAAAAGCAAGAAGTTAACGTTGATGAAATGAAAGTTTTAGGGTTTTTCTCCCTGCTTTAAAATGCCACAAAACAGAGGTTTGAGATTTTTAAAGGCACAATTTTCTGATAGACAAATTCCATGGAAAGATGTGTCACTAATGGTAATTATCAGGACAAATCTGGGGAACTTGAAGATGGTCAGAATAAGAAATCAAGCAAGTTTGTACTGGCAGTACTTTGACGTGAGTTATTGCATATGTGAGTAGACAGTTTGAGGGCTTGTGAAAACAACTCTGTCTTTCAGAAGATAAAGTCAGAGGGTGTTTCTCTAGACTGGTTTTGTGACGCTGATGTCTGATTCAGCCTCCTTGACCCCCTAGTGGACTTGAATCGGATGAAGCACATCACTAAGCATCAGAGGAGGAAATAAGTACTTTTCATAAAGGCATATTACTCTTTGGTGGCGGTCACTGACAGGCTTTTGAATTTGTTCTGGCTCTTCTCAATAAACAAATAGCTCACAAAAATGGTACCGCAATGTCAGCAAATAACTGGTTGATCTCATCTTCCAAACTACCTCAACTCTCACTGTGAGCTTAGTTACTCATTTTAGACATTCGTTTACTTCTGTTATACAGACTAGATGATGCTGCCATTTGTCACCAGCAACCTTGACATCAGGAATAGCTGCTCTTGTGCCTGTGAGTCTAAATGTTAGAAGTTAATTAAATATGTCTCTAATGATTGCTTTTCTTGTGCTGTTATCCAGAATTTTGGTCCCATAATATAGGAAAAGAGAGTGGCCTGGGAGGGATGACTTCACAGGAATACTTATTTTCTGGAATATGAAAACAATTTGGTAATGTAGGAGAAGCAGTAGGCTGGATGACTGGGTTTTGTGTATTAATGACTAAGTGTGTATCAACCAAAGATCATTCATTTCATGTACCCCACAAATATGCAAGCCTAAGTCTGCCTGGTGGTGACCAGTGGCAACATTTCTTGTTTTGTCTCCATCATCTGGGCTTATGACTGTGGTGGGGAGGCCTCAGTTCTATGATTTTGTTTGCTGATATAATTATTTCACAGTTAATGATCATGATTCCCCAGAGGCTGAAAGAACTGCAGTAGATGAGAGAAATGACTTCCACAACAACCAGCTCTGGTACCCCACTACTCTGCCTTTCTCACCAACAAGGAACAGAGTTTGGGTGGACATGTCCTTTGTGAAAGAGCAGGAAGATGTTTTCACACAGAGGCTTATAAATTCAAGGTCAGACAGCAAAAGGTGAGTCCATGCACTGAAACTGTAATTTCAAAAATGAATCCTATAGACACTGAGTACCTCCAGCCAGATCAAAGCCTGGCAATTACAAACTTCCTGGGACTTACAAAACCAATGTCTACATTTGAGAAACCTGAGTGAGGACTTTCCTTGTAAGCATGCATTAAAAAATTAGGTTCTCTTCTAACTGGCAAACCAGCTGATGCCTATTTGAATATATCTGTAGTGTAAGAAAGAAACTTAGCATAAAGGTGATTATTTCATCTTGTGCCATAAGAACCTCTGGCAAGTGTCCCCAGTCTACTCAGAGATGATGTGTAAGCAGGTCATCACAACACAAGTCCATATTACTGTGAGATAATGGATGTCATGTGCATAGCAAATGGCGTTTGATCAGTTATAGACACAGACACAGTAAAGCAAGTGCTCATTCACTTCATGCAAAGGCAATGACATGTTGCAGATCACACACTGTATCACCACGGATGCAATCATGTTGTAACCCAACATGATTGCATGCAAACTCTGAAGCTGGAATGAAAGCAGCCATGATTCAAAAACTGTGAATGCGGGAGCCCTGTTATAAAATTGTCCCTGCCATGGTCATAAGGAAGGAAGACTTCTATTCTTCAGCTGGAGAAGAGAAGGCTCTGGGGAGACATTATAGAAGCCTTCCAGTACCTAAAGGGGACCTACAAGAAACCTGGAAAGGGAATTTTTACAAGGGCAGGTAGTGACAGGACAAGGAGTAATGGCTTTAAGATGATAAAGGATACATTTAAATTAGGTATTAGGAAAAAATTCTTCACTGTGAGGGTGATGAAACACTGAAAGAATTTGCCCATCTCTGGAAATGTTCATGGCCAGGCTGGATGGGGCTTTGAGCAACCTGGTCTAGTGGAAGGTGTCCCTGCCCATGGCAGGGGGTTGGAACTATATGATCTTTAAGATCTCTTCCAACCCAAACCATTTGTGATTCTATGATTACCAAAGTCTAAAGAGATATGCTACTCTTCCTTAGAAGCACCATTTCTTTGCTACTAATGCTGAGTCAGCTGAACACAAGCTAACTGTGTGCTTTGCTTTTCAATGAAGGGTGACTCTCTTAACAGCATACAGATACACTATAGTCTCTACCAGAGAAGATATGGGTTTTTTTTTGTTGGTTTTTTTTTAATAGAAATTTTTGTCTTCTTTGTCTGCTATTTCAGACCCTTTTTGACATATAAGAATTAATTCTTACAGTCACATCTGCTAGACTGAATTTGGCCTGAGCCTGACTCTGAGCACCAATGAGTTAAAGGAGTGCTAATTGAAAGGAAACGTTTTTCCCTCATTTTCCTCTGACTAGGTATTTCTACAGTATATTGTAGAGATACTGCAATACAAGCTTAAAGATGCACCTTATTTCCTTTTGTCTGCAAAAAGGAGTTACCCTACAGTTAGGCACTTCTCCTGAAAAAAAATTCTGAACAAATGGGATCTGAGAAAACAATCTAAAATTTATAAATAAATAATTCTCCTTACTAAAATATCCATACTGCATCAATAATTGAATAAATTCTTTTCCTTAGTTGTTTGGAAAAGGTTTGCTTTCCAGTTGAATCCTATGCTGCCATGTATTTATTTCATTTTTTAATTAAAAAAAATAATTAAAAAAGGCAATAAAAAAATAATCGGCGGCAAGAGCCACCGAAGCAGCCTCAAGTCCTCGACAGGACTTAGGCAAGAGCCGCAGCTCAGCTGACGAGAGCGAGCAGCTGACTCACAGGGGGCGGAGCCAGGAGCAGC